AATGGAAATCCAAGTATTACCTTCCTTCTGCTTTCTTCACAACGCACTTCTGCAAATGTCTCCTAGATGTTGGGCAATGGTTTCGATCCTAGAATTCTTTCCCAAACCTCATCAAGGTCCTTGTTAAGACCCATTAAGAATTTAAAAATTCTTTTCTTTTCAGTAATTTCCCTGTATTTTTTTGCATGTGCAGGGCACTCCCAACTATGTTTTTTGAAGACATCCAATCGTTGCCAATGACGAATCAGAATATGGAAATATTGAGTTACCGATAAATTACCTTGTCGAAGGTCATGGAGAACACTTTCAAACTCAAATAATTCTGAGGTATTTTCATTACTTGAGTATATTTCCTTTGCTGCATCCCATATCTCTTTAGCAGTGTTGTAGAGTAGGAAATTTTCTCCAATTTCATTTGTCATAGAATTGATCAGCCAAGACATGACCACATTATTTTCTAACTTCCACAGTTTGAATTTCGGATCTGTGGTTGCTGGAGGGATAGACACTCCAGTGATAAAATCATCCTTCCTCTTTCCGCAGATGAACATCATGACTGACTGCGACCATTGAATGTAATTTTTTCCATTCAATCTTTGTCCTGTGATGAGAAGATGATTGCTCTTTGATCCGCCCTTAGAACTTGTGGCAGGAACATCATGATGTGAAGAAGTTTTATTTTCTACAGCCATGTCGTACTTTGTCATGGAGATTCCTTAGGTTTCAGAGGTTGCTTTGATACCATAAAGAATATGTAATCTTTATTCTTATTTCAATGATAAAACAATGTACAATTTATAGGAAAAACAGAAGGAATAAATCACTTCCTTAAATCAAGGAAAGATTTAATTTCCTAAACCACTCTACAGACTAAATGCCTAAGAATTGGAATTGATAAAAATAACACCCCTTAATTGGGAAACTAATTTACAGTTGTAGGATCTACTAGAAATTAGGACTGAAAAATCAAGAATTCTACATTTACCATTGTGTCTAATCTTTCTAGTGTTTCTATCTGTAAGAAAGAGAAAGATGCATTATCTAACCCCAGCTGGAGGACAACAACTCAGGTAGAAATGGAGGCTCTCCACCATAATGGGATTTGGGATTTGGTAGGCAAACAGATAGTCGGATGCAAATGGATATATACCATCAAGTATAATCCAAATGGTATGGAGGATCAAAAGAAGGCTCGATTAGTGACCAAAGGATATACTCAAACCTATGGCATTTATTATGACGAGACATTCTAGCCCATCGCCAAGATTGCATCTATTCGTGTTTTGATTTTTCTTGCTACTAATCTTGACTGGCCTTTGTTTCAACTCGATGTTAAGAATGCCATTTTGCATGGTGACCTTACTGAGGAGGTCTATATGGAGCAACCACCAGGATTTGTTGCTCAAATGGAGTATTTAGGATATGTTTGCAAACTGAAGAAGGCTTTGTTTGGTCTCAAGCAATGCCCTCGTGCATGGTTTGGCAAATTCTCTAAAATGGTGTTAGAGTTTAGCCTTCGACGATGTGAAACGAATCAATCAGTATTCAATCTATGTTCCAAGGCTAGATATGTTATCTTAGTTGTATGTGTTGATGATATTGTAATCATCGAAGACGATAGGGAGGGGATCGAGAGACTTAAACAATTCTTGCAATAGAGATTTCACACTAAATACCTGGGGAAGCTCCGATATTTCCTAGGTATTGAGGTGGCTAGATCTTAAACTGGGGTTAACCTGTCTCAAAGAAAATATGTTCTTGACTTGTTGGATGAGACTTGATTATCTGGTTCTCGACCAGTTGATACACCGATAAATCTTAATCAGAAACTTGTGAAGGATGGTGGAGCAGTGTTTGATGATCCTAGAAGATACAGGAGATTGGTTGGGAAGTTGAATTATTTGACCATCATCGGGCCAAATATCTCATATGCCATGAGTGTAGTGAGTCAGTTCATGGAGACACCTTTGATCCCACACTGGGAGGCTGTTCTTCACATTGTTTGATACTTGAAGAAGTCAACTCGCCTTGGTATAATGTACAAGAAAAATAGTCATCTCAAGATGGAGGGATTCACATTTCCCCTCTGATAGGAGATCAACTACAGGATATTGTACATTCTTAGAAGGTAATTTGGCTATTTGTAGGAGCAAGAAACAAACTGTAGTAGCTCGATCTACTGTTGAAGCCAAGTACAGGTCCATGGCGCACACCACCAGTGAGTTAACTTGGTTGTAACATTTTCTAGAGGAGATTGGCTTTTTTGGTTCCTACTCCTATTACTTTGTTTTGTGATAATCAGGCATCATTGCACATTGCATCCAACCCAGTATTTCATGAATGCATGAAGCACATCGAGATTGATTGCCACTTCGTTTGCAATAAAATACTAGGTGGAGATATAGCGCTTAGTATGTGAGAGCTGGGGAGCAATTGGCAGATGTTTTCACCAAGGAATTGTATAAGCCTCGATTAGAGTATATTTGTAACAAGTTGGGCTTATATGATATATATAGCCCAATTTGAGGGGAAGTATTGTGGAATATGAGGTAGCATGGTAATATAGCTAGTATGGAAAGATTTGTTGTGGGTGTTAGGAAAGAGGATCAATCCTGTGTATTAGTTTCCATATGTTTTTCTATATAATGCAACACCAAATGTAAAGAGAAAAAAAGAATGAATCTTCTTCCCTTCAAAGTTTATACCAAACCGGTTTCTCAACAATATTAATATAAATGTTAAAGAATTTAAATCAACATGTCCTTGTTTTAATGTGTCCGTGCAACTTAGCCGTTTTATCATTTAAGGTTTTGTCATGCTCCAGTTTCAATTTTTCATAAAATATTTGAATTATTGAGGTAGGTTACTGATAGCACCAAAAGATAGCTGTTCCTTTTATCATTCGTGCGATGAAAGTTGCAAGTTATTTTGATGTAGGATAAGAAGCGAGAAGGGGAGGAGAGGGAGAACGAGAGAAGCAGAAAACAAGGAAAGTAAGAAGGAGAAGGAGAAGAAAAGAAGAACTAGGGGAAGAGAGGGGAGGGAGAAAATGGCTGCAAGCCAAACAATATTTCAATTCTAATTCATCATCGTCTAATAAAATTACAACTGAAAACCATATAAATAGTAAAAGCATAACCCTAGTAGTGATGGGCTTGGGCCAAACCAATAAAACAAGCTCAATAACTAAAAAAAGTAAAATAGTGCGATAATAATATAAGTGATGTCCGCATCACATTTTCTCTCAACTAGGCGCACACATGATTATTATAACTATAATTTAGTGTCAGATTCTTTGAAGACTTTTACGAATTTAACAATTTCAGAGTAGTATACATGTAACATAAAGGGGAAAAAAATTATAACTTATAGGTCCTATCACTGAACACCACAACGGCTGCTATAAAATATTTATTCATACATGTTAAAGTCCAATAAATCTACTATCACTACATCATGTGTTATTGAGATAAATATGTATGAAAATGTTTTGTGCACAATGTAGCAACGAAATAGAGGGATTATATGTTGCAATTGAGAATTCAAATTTCCTGTAGGCATATTTTCTACTTTACGGAATACTTAAGCTGTACATATAATGAACAACTAAATTCAGAGAATGGATGAATTAAAACTAAAAGATCTCATGTGTGAAATTCTAAAGTACACAAAAAATGAGATTTTCAGTAAAATGAGAATGAAACATATTAGAAGTTACAACAATACATCATAACAGCATCAACTAATTCACCTTTAACATCAATCTAGAGGATTACAACACCAGCAGTAATCAATCAGTAATAATCAATGGCGCAGTAAAAAAAAAAATCTTAGCAGACACCAGAGTGCAAAAGACACGCGGACATCGTCATTGTTAATCCAAATCTTTCAACCACCATCACTAATTAACTATTATCTTTTGCATCCCTAACAAGCTTTAGAACTTCATTAGATTTATAATAAAGAATTACAATAGAATTAATGATCAGACGCCTAGATTTCATGAATGATGAAATCAAGCTGAAATCTGCTTGCGTTAAATGAACAAGAAAACCAAGCATTGTGATCACTAGCTTTAAATTACTAACAGGACTTGCTCTTTTTTGGATACATTAGTTACTGAAGGAATCCATCACCTTCAAAAAGAGCAAGACCAAACAATGTACCATTTATAAGCTAGTAAAGACATTCATTTTATTACGTGTCTATATTATAGCTGACACAACATGGGCTGGCTAGGGCAAAAAATTGATCCACGAAGAAGAAACCTTAGTGCACACAATATTAAACGCTCATCTTATTGGCTTTCAAATATGTTATTAGGCAGACAATTGATCCGTGAAAAAAATCTCTATTATCTATGAGGTAAATTTGGACTTTATGAGAAATCATGCACTCCAAACCAACGTTCAAAAGGCGGGGCTATGCGTGAGGCGTGAAGACCCCCATATGGAAAAGTCATAAAAAAAAAAAAAGTGGTCAACCCTATTTTGATCTATAATGTGGGCCTAGGCACCAAAAGGCGTGCACCTTCATATTTTTTTTTTTTTCTCAATTGTGTTGTTTTTCTTATATTAAATAAATTGATTAAGCAATGGGAATTATTAATAATCTCAAAATAATAATAAAAATAAGGAAACTACTTATTACGCCTAGGCAAAGCTTGAGTCTTGACTTTGCCACCTTTTAAAACCTTGCTCTAAACATGCATGTTTGAACAATTCAAAAAAGTTTCATGTTCCTCAAAAATTAAGTTTAAAAAAATATGCAGTTTTCTCGAAGAATATAACACGTGCGCAGGATCATGTTTCTAAACTAATTAAAAAATGTATTGGTAAGCATAAATAAAAGAACCATACATATATATAAGCTAACATCTTTTTCCATTCTAATTACTTCCCAAAATTTTTTATGTTATATAAAAATTTGGAAATTATTATTTTCAACTTACTCTTCTTCTCCTTGTACTCCTTGATTTATAAATTAATTTATTCCGAGAGTAAAATAATGAAGACTAAGTGAATGATAGATGACAATAGATGTCCATACAATGTTATAAAAATATCAGGGAAAAAAGGGAAAGTCTATGAAGGTTGAAACTCTACTTTGGCACGCCAGAGAAAATAAAGGGAGGCAAATCTTAAATGCACATTAAAGGTGAATCTAAAGTGCAACTCTCTGCCACAATGACGTCACCCAAAAATAACAAAATTGACAATGATCTTTTACCTGGATTATTTAACTTTCATCCTTTTAACCGAGTCGGCAGGAAAAGCCAGAATTCCTGCTGGCAAGTGATACGTTGCAGCAACATAACTTGCATGTAGACCGTGTGTCTCTCGTGACAAAGAAGTTTCATTTTTAGGGATTACTCATACCTCTATATTCTTCAACCTAATCTCCACAGATTTGTCCTTATCTATACCTTTGCCTGTTTAAAGCCAAAACTTGAAATGCCTAAAGAATGGTGACTCCTTTCTGCTACTCTCTTGTGTGACTCCACATTAGTTTCATTCTTCTTTTTTATTTCATCCCCAATCTTTCACCATGAGACACATAGTTTTTCGAGATCCATATGTGAATGAGACCTATGATGTAACAAGAAGTCTCAGCAATCTTTGGGAGAGTATAAGAGTGCCAATTATCGCGCCTATTCTACGCATTGCAGTTTATATATGCATAGTGATGTCTGCTTTGCTTTTTGTAGAACGAGTTTACATGGCAATTGTGATTACATTTGTCAAATTTTTTGGGAAGAAAAGATACACCAAGTACCAGTTAGACAGCATAAAAGATGACCTAGAGAAAAACAAGAACTACCCTACAGTGTTGGTTCAAATCCCTATGTTTAACGAGAAAGAGGTAAACACTAGAATATACTTTGCACAGCTAGTATCTATATATACTTTCTTTAAGGCATAGACATGCATCAAGCATATGGCACATGTATATAGAAGCATACAAAATTTGCATTCATTTATCATTTCAGAAAGGCAAATTGGTATTAATCCCCATTAAGTGCCTATAATGACCAAAAACCGTTTTCAATCAGCCAAAAAGCACTGGCAAATGAATTTTTACACTGGCAGCATGTAAAGCATGTATACAATTAGCCACGTACAAGTATTACTTAGGCGAGTTAAAAGGATTTCTAGATCCATACTTGCATAGAAGAAAAGATACAAGTGACGCGCTCTAATAGTGCTTATTTATAATTACATCTTACAGCTTTCAGGTCAAAATTTACTCAATCATGAACATACATACTATTAAAGCTTGATAGCAATTCATACATGCTTTACTTTATTTTATTTTATTTGCATTTAATTTGAAAATTTAAAAGTAGAATATTTCTTCCAAAAGAACTAGATAAATTTAAAAAGAAGCTCAAAAATGAGTATCTAAATCATGCCTGGCGAAAATAAAAAATCAATTAGAGTTAAAAGACAAATATCATTTTTGACAAGTCACAAAATAATACCTTGAAAACTTCTCTTTCTGCGTGTCTGAGTGGCCGTGTGTCGCTTTGCTGTAGAAGAAACAATGATGAATTAAATATCGATCAACAAGATTTATGTAATTTTTCTACAAGAAGGTTAATTATCCTTTCAGGCATATTTTGTATGTCCTTCATAAGGTAGTATGTATCTAGTTGGGAATTTTCATTTATGTTTAAGCAATGAAGTTTCCAAATGGATATTGAATATAACTTTGATAACCCAACATATTTCATTAATATCACTGTTGTCGACATTAAAGCCATATCAAGAACTGATAAAGAATATCATTTTGTCAATTTAATATAGTGTAATTCCAGCTTGCTTGATGATTTAAGGTAAGTTTTACCACTAAAACACCAGCTAGATAAGGAAGAGACAAATCCTATAAAAAAATCATCTAATACAACCTAACTTGGTCTGCATTCATTTATCCCAAATATTCATGTCTCTGACATCAATGTAAATAAAAGATAGACACATACATAATCACCCAAAAGCTTCACACAAACATGTAGATTAAATGAAGAAAATAAACATGAATTCATGATAGATTTTTTGTCAAGGCATCATCATTATTGTCCATTTCTCACAATGGACAAACAGTTGGGATACACACTGTTAATTATGTGAGCACTTGTATGGTTGTATGAGAGCTCATATTTGAGCAAATAAGGAACTTAAAGAAATGAGGAAAGATTTAATTTCTATTTTGAAGAATTTAAACTAAATATGAGTAAATAAATCCAAAATCTTCTTTACGCCTAGGTTTACAAGCTTTCAATAGGAGCTGTATGTGGGCTTTCATGGCCATCGGATCGACTCATTGTGCAAGTTCTTGATGACTCCACCAGTGAAGCCTTAAGGGTATCCCTTTGAACCAAATGTAATCTTCAATGTAAATTCCAATAAAATCATGTTTCTGTGCTGCAATTCTGGAGAATATATGTGCAGGCAATGGTGAAATTGGAGTGCCAAAAATGGATGGCGAGAGGGGTGAATGTTAAGTATGAGACGAGGGACAACAGGAATGGTTACAAGGCTGGTGCTCTTCGAGATGGCTTAAAAAAGCATTACGTTGAAGATTGTGAATTTGTTGTGATCTTTGATGCAGACTTCCAGCCTGAAGGAGATTTTCTCTGGAGGACTGTCCCCTACTTACTTGAAAACCCAGAGCTGGGCTTGGTTCAGGCAAGATGGAAATTTGGTAAGGCGTATGACAGTACTGTATATACTATAGTTGAAAGATATCTAACTAGATTTACCTCCAATATAAAAGTATGCCGTATTCCATAAATGAAGATCAGAGATAAAAGACGGAAGGTAATGGGTTTAGTTAACATGTAACTACGAATGTCTAATGCAAATAAAGTAAACTAAAGTGAATATTCCTCGTAACACCTTCAGTTGCTCCAAAAATTAAGCATGTTTCCAAGGTATTGACAATGAATTAGTTGTTTCAGTTAATGCAGATGAGTGTATGATGACTCGGCTCCAAGAGATGTCACTAGACTATCACTTCACTGTTGAACAAGAAGTGGGCTCCTCAACATGCTCGTTCTTCGGATTCAATGGTTATCAGCATATCATGTTTCTCTTTAAATATATATGTTTTCCAGCCAACTAGTAAAGTAACAGTTTAGGTAACAGATTTACAATGTTTGATATGAATTGCAGGAACTGCTGGAGTCTGGAGGATCCGAGCAATAAATGATGCAGGTGGGTGGAAAGATAGAACCACAGTAGAGGACATGGACCTTGCGGTCAGGGCAGGCCTTAAGGGCTGGAAATTCCTGTTTGTGGGTGACCTCGAAGTAAGCATCTAAACTATCACTAGGATACACTATCTGCTGTGTGAAGTATAGATTCCGCTAGGTTGAACACAATTTACCTTCCATCAGGTAAAAAATGAACTACCAAGTACGTTTAAGGCGTACAGATATCAACAGCACCGCTGGTCATGTGGACCCGCTAATCTTTTTAGAAAGATGTTTATAGAAATCATCACCTGTGAGGTATTAACTCTACGATTGTTTCCCTTTACTGTCAGCAATGAACTAGTGGTATGACGCTAAATTTGAATTTCCCCAAGAAAATATACAGTGCCTTCCTAATGTTTGCAGCGCGTATCACTATATAAGAAATGGCATGTGATATATGCATTCTTCTTAGTAAGAAAGATCATCGCCCACTGGGTCACATTTTTCTTTTACTGCGTTGTCATCCCTGCAACAATATTAGTACCAGAAGTTCATCTTCCGAGGCCGCTAGCAATTTATCTTCCAGCGTGCATAACTATTCTCAATGCAATTATCACTATAAGGTATGAAGATCTAGATAAGCCAAATACAATTTCCTATTCTTCTATTTTCCAGAAATCTCCCAAGGAATTAATTAATTTGAAGCCCCACTTATTTTTTCACAGATCTTTACATCTTCTCGTCTTTTGGATATTGTTTGAGAACGTTATGTCTTTACATAGATCCAAAGCAGCCATTATAGGACTGCTTGAAGCCAACAGAGTTAATGAGTGGATAGTGACTGAGAAGCTGGGTAATATGATGAAGCAAAGGTTCAGTGCAAACACAGCAAAGAGGCCAAGATCACACATAAGAGAAAGGTATAATGTCCAGTATGTGCTTCATAAGCACCATTTCATTATGCCATAGTGTTGATCAACCAAGGTTTGGTGATTGAAATTGGAAAGGCCAATAATTCTATAGATAAAAACATGATGTCTTTCAGGTCATTAAGATATAGAAACACCCAAATGCACCTACAGACGTAGACCCACTATGTTAAAACATTTACCATTTTCTTGAGGAGTATCCAGCAGAATCATTTATGCATAAAAAATTACATCTACAAATGGAGGAATCGTTATTTAGAATCTCTTTAACATTGTTGTGCACTAACCTGACATTTTGGTTTTAAATCAGGATCCATATATTGGAGCTTATAATGGGGATGTGCTTGCTGCATTGTGCTGTGTACAACATGTTCTACGGGAACAATCATTTCTTCATCTATCTACTGCTGCAGGCAGGGGCCTTTTTTGTAGTTGGACTTGGATATGTTGGAACAGTCATACCCAACTAAAGATGACGATGCAGATGAGCTGATGAAGACTGGTTTTAATGACTACATAAAAGAGTACTATGTACATGGGTGTCAGGAGTGTTTGGTTTGTTACTCGTATTACACAATTATACAACAAGTCAATGCCGTTATTGGAATAAATAATTTGTCTGATGATTTGGAAATCTTATGCACATGTTTAGCATTATTACTTAACAAGCCATGCTAATGTAGAAAAGGGTAAATCTTTATACTACCATTAGATGTTCCTCAATCCAGTAATTATTAACTCAAACATCTCAACCATAAACCTGATCGAGTGTCCAGTGTTCAAGGTGAAAATAAAATTACAATAAAGAAAAATACTATTCATTAAGCGATAGAAATTTCTTTTTTTGGGCACAGAGAAGGGGGAGAAGAGTGATTCTATCCTACTGGTCACGATACTCGAACTCATGAGAGGACGTCAGCATTTCTTCCAACCTATACAACCAGCTTGGCTCACAGATTGGTCAATCCCTGTTATACTATCTTTGAAATCTAATAAACGAAACAACATCTGATCATTAGACTTGCATAACACAAAACTGAAAATTATTGAGACGGGTTCGTCCAGTAGATAACTTACGACATAACTTGCAACCGAAACAAGAAATTTGGAGCAAGAATTGCACTGGGAGGCTAAATTGCACAGACATCTATTGAGAACTAAAAATGATGCGTTTGCTTTCCAGATGTAAAAGGTCTGCTGTTGAAATGGTTGCTCAACTAGTTAACTGTCCAAATGCAGAGATCTTAGAAAATCTCAGATTTCGGGCACAGCATAATTTTTCAAAGTTTTACAAAATTTCTTATATAAAATGTATAGTTGATATGTTCAAATAAGTTTAAGATTAATTGATTAAATTTTTTATGTTGAAATTATGGACGGTACTAAATCAGAGGTTAACATATGTCACTCCAGCATTTCCATGATCAACGAACAGTGTCTTTTTTCTCTCTTAAAAAGGGGATCGATGGATTTCACCCCTCCCACAAAAGAAGGCTCAAACCCAAGTTTCGCTCTTACCACTTGCGCTAGGCCTTGCCCTTTAACAAACAGCGTCTAACATTTTTACATAATACTAAAATATTTCACACTTAACCAAATGAAATATAGCAAACGCGATTAGCCACCTTTTAATTGCAACTATCCACCTATGATCCCATGAAATTGCCTGTCCTCTTGTGGGTATCCAGATAGTTAAAAGCATACATAAGGGGCACCTTGAGAGCAAAAGGAATCTAGAGTGAAGATTGTCTTCCAAAGTTTGCTTATTTAAAGCCCCATATGTAGAGATAAATCACGTCTCCACAGCAACAAATAACAACACGTGCAATCTCCTTAGCTCACTAGAGAGAAATTATGAGAACCCTTATATTTGAGGTTTGAATTCTAAGAATTTGTGATCATGAATAAATCAATATCCATTGCCATTTTGTAGGACGCTAGGTTGGACTGCTTCATGACTTAATGCACTGGAAACAAGTGATGAACTAACTATATTAATCAGTTTCTTAACAATGAACTATTTAGCTTCCATAATCATCAACGTTTTCACAAATTTATACCTTATAGATTATGGATCAAACAAGCTATTCCCTCTTGTGGTTTTTGCAGTTTATTCAAAATAATCTAGAAAAAGTTCCTGATTCTGATTGTGGGAGCCTTAACTAAAATGCAGGTCTATGGGTGCTGAAGTCAGATTCTATCTCGCAGCACAATTACATGTTTAGTACAAAATAGGATAATTCAAAATTTTGACTCCCGAAGCTGTGCAAACAATCTTACAGAATTATGTCAATAACCAGTTTTCAATAATGCATCATCAAAATCGCAGTCTAATTCGGTGTATAAGTGAATTTAAATAGCTATGTTAACCCAATTTAGAAATATACAAAGATTTCATCCAGTCAGTCATATATGTTAATTACTTAAAAATACAGAATAAACCAACTATAATAGAAAATTCAAATCGCTGGATATTTCATAATCAACAAACATGAACTTACCCCTCGGAACATGAAGACGCGCCGCAAATGTGTCAGAATTCTGCCTGGACAGCTGCCGGAGGAGATGGGTTCCTTACTGAATTAGGACATGTTTGTTGTAAATGTTGTGGCCAAACCCCTGTTTGACGAGCGTTCTTTTCAAACGAGTTAATTGTGCCAATGGTCACTATTCTTATGTTTATCTCTTCAATTGTCCAATGAAATTTAAGATGTCGGATTTTGACAATAAATCAAACCTATTAAAATATTGGACGTTACTCGTTATCTTAACATCCATTCCAATTTTCTAACAAAATTAGTGACATGACTAACAGAATATACATGTGGCACTCAGTCACATCATTGTCAAATTATTATATCTTCGATTGCTCACCAAAATTTGAAAAATATATTTAATTACTCACTAAACTTTGAAAAGGTTTTCAATTACTCACTAAACTTTGAGGTGGTCAAATTTTGGTCACTGAACTTACAAAAATGACTTCAACCTATTGTTCATTAAAAAATATGTAGCGCAATTACACAAATCGCGTAAAAGTAATGAAGTGGACAAACGAGTCCAGGTTGTCGATCCCACTAGAAATAATTATTTAATTACATAATAGTTAAATTTAATTTTAATATTCTTTGTAGAATTTTAAGTTATTTCATCATTTCAAAAATTCAAATTTATTGTATGTTTCGTTGTTAAGATTATATTAATATCTAGATTTTGCAACCAAACACACAATAAATTTAACTAAATGAATTTCATTCAATTTTGATCCCTCCGAAAAATGGATTATGTTTCGTTATTTAAAATCTTGATTAAATTTATTGTGTGCTTTATTGTACAATCCATTTAACTAAATTTATGGGGTTTGGTTGTAAAATTCAAAAATTAATTTAATTTTAACAACAAAATACACTATAAATTTAAATTTTTTTAAATGATGAAAATAGCTTAAAATTCTACAAAATATATTGAAATTAAATTTAACTATTGTGTAATTGAGTAATCATTTATCATGGAATTGACAATTTCAAATTCATTTGTCTACTTTATTACTTTTACACGATCTGTGCGATTGCACTACATATTTTTTTAACGAACAATAAGTCGAAATCAGTTTTCTAAATTTAGTGGCTAAAATTCGACCACCTCAAAGTTCAGCGAACAATCGAAAATGTTTTTAAAAGTTAAGTACGCAATCGAAGATTTTTTTAAAACTTCGTGAGCACTTGAATACAGTTTTCAAAGTTTGGTGAGCAATCGTAGACGTAACAATTTGTTAACGATATGAAGGGCGTCACATGTATATTCCATTAGCCACGTCGCAAATTCGTTAAAGAATCGGAATGAATGTTAAGGTAGTGAGTAACGTCCAACGTTTTGATAAATTTAGTGACAAAAATTTGTCATTTAAAATTTCAGTGAACAATCGATGAAATAGACATAAGTTTAGTGACCATTAGGACGATTCACTCTTTTCAAACTCTTTTTTTTAACATGCTCATTTTCAACGAGTTAATTGTTCTAATGGTATGTCTTCGATTGCTCGTTGAAATTTAAAAAATCGAGTTTTGGTCACTAAACTTTGGAGAACATTGTACGCTACTCATTGGAACAACTTCCGTCTCAAACCTCTAAAGGAATTGATGGCGTGGCTGATGAAATGCATATGTGGCTCCCTATCACATCGTTCAACTTGGTGATAGTCGAATTTTCGTCACTAAATTTTATAAAATGTCTTTTATTACTCACTAAACTTTGAGGAGGTCGAATTTTGGCCACTAAAATTTGATGTAGTTGAACTTTTGCCACTGAACTTTAATATAGTCGAACTTTCGTCACTAAACTTTGAAAAACGTATTATGTTGCTAACTATACTTTTGGATTTAATTAAACCTTTGTTTATCTCCCTTTAAAATAAAACTCTTTAATTTTCATACTCATTTTTAACCATATATTTTTAAAATAAAATATTTTACACATAAATTCAATTTTTTTTTTCACTTTTTTAACCACACTTTCTTCAAATATTCACAATTTAATTTTTTTTTTTTAAATAATGGCCATCAAAAGGGGCTAAAATTTGAATTTGTAAAAACATTTTAGCCCATGTTTGATGGCTATTATTTGGGAAAAAAAAAAAAGGAAAGTATTAAATAGTGATTTTTTTTTTTTTGAATGCATAGTTAAAAAGTTGGAAAAATTTTTAAGCTTACGTGTAAAATATTTTATTATATAAATATGTGATTAAAAATGAATATGAAAATTAAAGTGTTTTGTTTTAGATGGAGATAAACAGAGGTTTAATTAAATTCAAATTTATAGTGAGCAATAGAAGATTTTTTCAAAGTTTAGTGCCCAAAGTTCAACTATATCAAAGTTTAGTAGCCAAAATTTGACCACCCCAAAGTTTGATGAGTAATAGACGACATTTTTCAAAATTTAGTGACCAAAACCTCAAAGTTTAACGATGTAACGAACACCACATGTGCATTTCATCAGTTACATCATCAATTTCGTTAGAGATTTGAGACAGAAGTTTTATCAATGAGTAACATACAACGTTTTGCAAAGTTTAGTGACATAAACTTGATATTTTGAACCTCAATGAGCAATCGAAGATATAGATATAAGTTTAGTGACCATTAAACAATTAACTCTATTATAAACCACACATGCACAAAAAAAGAAAAAAAAGGTATTTTGAACATAAATTCAAGATTTTGTCCTATTTTTTAATAACATAATCTCTTCAAAATCACCATTCAAAACCTTACTTTTCCAAAATATTGGTTGTCAAATGGGAATCACGGAATGTATATTTTGCAAAAATTAATTTTTTTTTTAAAAATTGTGTAATTAAATAGTAGAGAAAAATTCTGATTAAAAAATATATATATATAGTTGACCCAAGACATATAATTTATTAGTTAATTCAACAAAATACTTACTAATAAGCTTTTATTATTTCTTTAAAAAGATAATTATTTATTATAACTTTTTCTTATGCAAGAGAATAAATTTCATAGCTGAACTTTGCTTTATTTTATTGATTTAAATTTGTACTGAGATAAGTATATTAGTATTTTAACGTTAATGTTTATAAAATTTCAATTTAAGTGCTATATTGTAGATTAATATGTTTATCTTTTCACTTGTCTAATATATTAATTTTACCTTTAAAACGTGGTTGCAAAACGAATCGAACAACATAAAATGGTTTTGGTTTGGAACTTTTTCAAATCTTAATGATTCATTTTCAAAATTTAAACCTTATTTTTAAGTCAATATTTAGATCCACGTGACCCCATCAAAATTTTAACTCTGAACCAAACCAGACAATTTAAAAATAGTTCACTTTTATGTTTCGATGGTTAAAAATTGCTTTATACCATATTAAAGAGTTCACCTGAAAAAATATTTGTACCAAAGATATGTGATTTATTAGTTCAATTTATGTTTTAACAAACTTACTTGTTAGTTGAATTCCATTGGCTCTTTAAGAATAAATAATAATTCATGATATTATTTTTTCTTATTGTAAAATTGTGAGATAATTATTGATGATTATTTAGTTTTATAATGTATTATATTCATATTGTATCTCATTGAAATCATATATATATATAAATCATTGTTATAATGAAGTACATACGTGATTTTATACTCTAATACATCTTCTATCTTTTTTTCCTCTTAGTTTTATAGCAAATTATCGGTACAAAATATTCTAACAAATTGAGTTAGGAAAAATAATTCTTTGTTGTTATTCAGAAAAAACACAAACTTCTAATTAATTCAGTTTACGAAAAAACTCTTATTTTCATACAATAAAGTATAAAATTTTTGTTGCTCTCGAAGAAGCATAAGAAGCATAAATTTTGACATTGATAAGTGTGTTTTTACACATTTATTAGGCACATTAATGGGCTATTTATTGATGAAATTGAACGAATTCCTATTCGTAATTGTGTAATTATGGTGTTTGCAGGTCAAAATCCCAAATTGGAGGAGAAAATGGTTAAAGGAAGGAAAAGAAGACCAAAAGTGCACAAAAACATGGATTCTGGGGCCAAAGTGTACAAGCGTCAAAAGTTTAAGGACCGAATGTTGCAAATTTTGGAGGGCGTGATTGAAAGAAAATCCAAAATTTGAGGACTAAAATGTACAAGTTCAAAGTTGAGGGATCTAGTGTGTAAATATGAGGGGGACTGAGCTGCAAATACTAAAAATGGGAATTGGTACTGTAGCGGCTCCATAGTGCCACTATAGCAGAGCCGCAACGCCATGTCTCTGTTCTTTGTAGCGCTGCAGCACCATTTTCAGAGCGCCACGACCGCGGCTAAAGACCTGTTTGCCTATATTTTGTAGTTAGAGATCATTTTACAATTACAAAACAATGTTTTTGAGCCAATTAAAAGGTAAAATTGATCCATTTTTCTCTTATTCTTCATTTACTTAGAAAACTCTAGCTTAGAGAGAAAAGGGGGCAAGCAAAAAGGAAAGAAAATACTACATCAAAGGGAGAAAATTTTGGAGAAATCAAGATCAAAACTTAGCAAGCTTCAAGGATCCGACCAAGGGACAAGTTTTTTTCTTTGTCTTGTATTTCACATTATATTTTTCTCGACTTTTGTGATGTATTTATTTAATCCTTTCATTTCGTGCCTTATAAATACAATGAGCTAAATATTTTGGTGTTGAGATGAATGAGGAAATTTGCCTTAACTATATAAATTTCTTTATCCACTATTTAATGTTTATGTTCTTGTATTTTTACCATTGTTTTGAGTGCATTATCATTATTGTGGCCACTATGCTATAATGCCTAGTGATTATTGAGAAATTGTTGCACATTTTAGATTAAGATGGTAGAAACCCTAAGTTCTTGTAGAAATAGAGGTATATCCCTAGTCCTAGATAACCCTTTGAGTTATTTTCATTAATATTTAATGCTTTTGATTGTGTTCAATCAACGTAGAAATATAGTAGATTAAACTAATTGATTAGGGTTAGTTTCACTTGAGAAAGGTAATTAACTAAAATAGGAAAATTGGATTTGACAAGAAAAGTGAGCAATATTCTATTGAGTTATTTTGAGGAATTAATTTAGTGACAGTCAAGCGGAATCATGAATCCCAACCCGATTAAAATCTA